CCAAGTGTAAGAGGGTGTTTATAATGATGTGTAACAGGTGAGTTAGAAATGTCTGCATGCATTTTGTGTCCTAGTTCCAGTATCGAGTAGGTGAAACATGCTGGTCACTGGACATTTAAATGGACATGGAGCCATCAATGTTGTTACATTTTGCTTTTTCCTGCCACCAAGTCAAAAACATTCCAATTGAATAGAGCTTTGATTTTGCTAATGGAGCAAACACGTGGCTATAGCCTCTGAGAGCTGGGATATCTCAAGCAAGTTGACGTTCATGTTAGCAAGGTGTAGGTTTGCTAGCAGCTAGGATAGCTTTAGACACTACCAACACATTAGTGACTGGCTTTTTTGCCTTGTAAGGGATTTAATGGTAATTAATAAGCACGTGTTGCTCTTGGAATATGCAGCATGAATATATTTTAACTTGAACTAATGTACGTTAAGTAAAATCAATTAAAACGTACGGACATTTCTCAGTGTGACTGCTGTGATTTTTCCAGAGTGGTGTTGTCAGGGGACGGTACAGCCAGTCCATGTCCGTGGATCTGTTCTTTATGAGGCAGTGGGAGGACGAGCGTTGGCCTCTCACACAGCATCGCTCCTTCAGGCTGCTGAAGACTCCTGCCATCCCTCAAACCCCCATCTTGACCAACAGTGAGGCTTTCTTACACCATTTTTAGCGTATTTATGTATATTCAGTTGATTCAAAAGAACAAGGGCTAGGTGCTAACAGTATTCATACAGATGGAGGTAAGGTCTGCCTAAATGGTCATCTATAGAATTTTAAATAAAAAGGTTGCATCAGAGCTGCCCTCCTTACTTTGTGTGCATTTCCTTTCAGTTCCTTTTTGATAATTCAATATTATCAATTCCATAGAATTGTTAAAGCTTGTATTTGTGTGTGATGTTGAGCATAATAGTGAAACATATTTAATTGTATTGAACATTGCAAAATAGGAAAAGAGCAGTGGATCTGTCATTTCATTGAATACTTTTGCAATTACACAAAAAAAATCACTGAATCATGTTTCCAGTGTTTTGAAGATGCATCTGTCCCTCTCCCTCCACAGGCACGGTCCCATCCGAGGGATTATTTTCTGTCACTTTAGGCCCCTTTGCACCTGATGTCTCCCTCCAGAAGGTGACCATAGACGGTGGTGGTGACCTTTTAACCTGGACCCAAAGCCTCCAAACACAGACTGACACAGACCTTGCGGTGTCCAGGCTCTCCCACGTTAACGGGAGCTTCTCCTACCAGCTCAGTTTTCCGTTGTCGCACCCAAAAATAATCCCTGAGGTGAGAGTGGCAAACATGAAGCAGCTTTCTCACGTGTAGAAGTTCAAAAGCCTTTGAAACATCCTGCTGTCTAATCCCAGTATATAGGTGCTGGCTATAAAACGTACAGCTTCACTTTCACCTTTACGCTTCACATCTCACCCAGTAGAGAACTGTTTTACCATCAAGCCACCGTAGAGCATAGTGTTGAGTTCACAGGTGAGTTACTGGTTACGCTTTTTGAGTTTGTTTTCATCTACCATCACCATACTGATTGGTTTTTCTAACTACAATGCTGCCAGAGTTTGTTTCTTCATTTTATTGTGATATGAACAGCAACTTGTGGAGGTTACCTTGAGATTTATAATCCATTTCACTGATCACTGAAATGTAACATTAAAATAAAAGTATATATAATTGATAGTTGATGGGATAAAAGTGAGTTGTGGTTGTTGTAATTGAGATACAAACTAACCAGCAGTGAAACACTCTGGATAATAAATGTAAAGCATTTGTTCAAAACTAACAAAAATGCTAATCTGTTCCCTGAAAACACAAAAACCTCAGAGCCCCACTGACATGTCTCTGATTCCCCATCCATCCTGGTGCAGCTCCAGGTTCCCCCAGACTGGAAGGGAAGTGCACAGAGAGCAGCCTGCTGGTGCTGCTGCACCATGGGGCCCAGGGCGAGCTGCAGTGGGAGCTGTTGCTCGGAGCCCGCAGGCTGGACTGGGACCTGGTGGAGATGGGTGGGTTCGTGGTGGAGGCAGAGGAGGACTACTTAACTGTGGAGATCCCTCTCTACAGCTCTGGGATGAAGTATGAGGTGAATCAATCTGCGCTTCTTTTTTTTTTTTTTCCCCTTGTGATTTTAAATTTTCTTGCCAAGTATCTTTGTTTTTATCCACAGGATCAGTGTGAATTTCATCTTAATTTAACTATTTTTCAGGGATAACAGATTTGTTTTCAACTTAATAGCTTTTCTTTTAATCACTAATTTACTCAGCTAATGCCTGGTGTCCATCTAATTGAATCACATACAAGGATGCCATCTGTGTTTGCAATTCAGTAAATTAACTCTCAGAGGAAATTAAGGATTAGCTGCACTCCCCGGTCTTCGTTTCTTAAAAGTATCTCAGTGCAAAGACGAGACTTTAACACCTTGTGGCTACTTTGATGAAACAAGTTTCTGCTTTTCACATCCTATTAGTGGTTACAAAAAAAGATCCACAGTGTTTATTCTTGTCTACAATATAATTTTCTTTGCAAGACTCTTACTGTCGCTCCACTGCAACAGTTAATATGAACATGTTTGCAAACTTTTCCCCATGTAGGAGCTGACATTGCAGGGTCTTGTTGCTGGAGTGGAAGTGTCTGTTGTGGATGCAGAGTCTCTGAAGCTGCAGGACAGTCTTGTCCATCAATGCACCTTTCCTGCTCGAGAACTAATAGGTAAACGCTGGAAGCTCAGACTGAAGCATAAAACATCAAAATCTTTTTATATTTAATTAATGATATTGTTTGTTAATTATTAATATTATATTTAATTACCATTTATGTTTTAGTGGTAGTTCATGATGGTGTGTCTCTGACAGTTTGTTTGCCAGAAGGGAGGATGGTGGCAGTGGTCGACACCACCCACACCATCCCGCCCACTCACCCCAACCGAACCGCTCTATCGGACCCCACATGTGTTCCCATGGAGACGGACAGTGCCAGAGCTCTGTTCAGCTTCAGCCTTGACTCCTGCGGGACACTTGTCACTGTGAGGGACTTAGATTATTCACAGTCCACACGGCAAATATACGTTCTGTTCTGTTCTGTTCTCATCTCCTCACATTTCTTTAGACCGAGGGAGATTTCCTGGTTTATGAAAACCAGATCAGCTACACTCAAGATTTTCTGCCTTTGGATGATCCCGTTATACACAGAGATTCTCCGTACAGGTGAGAAAACTACACTGAACTCAGTCCGTCTTTAGAAAAGTCAAATTAGCGTTTACACATGTCTTGTGTTTTTTAGACTGACAATCCAGTGTCGCTACCCTGCAAACCATACCAGTACTCTTGCTATCCAACATCCTGTGTACACATCTCTGGACCTTTCACCAATGATGCCAGTTAAACGCACACGCAGGGAAGCTGCAAACACAGGTGTGTGTGTGTGTGTGTGTGTGTGTGTGAAAAGCTCCTGATTTGTGATAATTACATAGAAAATATGTAATATAAATTCCTCCCCGTTCAGGTCAAAGGAAATGGACGGTGAATCTTGAGCAACAAGAAAAACATCATCAAGGTAGTGGAGGTTTAAAACATTGTTAACACTGCGCTAAATGTAAATGCAAATACCTCAGTCCACTTCTCGTATTGGAACTGAGTTACGCCAAATGTAATTCAGATATTTTATGTTCATCTGTGGAAGGAAGATCTTTAACCTCTTGTCTCATGTTTTCTCTTCTCTGGAGTTTCAGTGTGGAAAACATTGATGCATGCCTCCCTGCTGCTTCTCATGCTCTGCACATTTGGTTCTGCGTACTGGATCTGTGAATTAAATCAGTGAACACTATTTTATTTTTTATTAGGTGTTTGTTTTAAATTATTTTATGTCTATCATCTCTTTAGTTTTTATTTTGACAGGGTTTGAGAAATTAAGTTATTGTCTCTTCTTTGTTCATTAAAGAGTGTTCTGATAAACTGGCATTTGTCTACTGATGCTTTGCATGCACAATTCTTTGTTCATGCTTGCAGTGTCACTACTCGGATATTTACACCAGGCCAATAACCAAGTGCTAATGAGGGTGTTATAATTGATGTGTACAGGTGGAGTTAGAAATGTCTGCATTGCATTTGTGTCCTAGTTCCAGTATCGAGTAGTGAACATGCTGGTTCACTGGGACATTTAAATGGACAGGAGCCATCAATGTTTGTTACATTTGCTTTTCCTGCCACAAGTCAAAACATCCAATTGAAAGAGCTTTGATTGCTAATGAGCAACACGTGGCTATAGCCTCTGAGAGCTGGGATATCTCAAGCAAGTGGTTCATGTTAGCAGGTGTAGTTTGCTAGCAGCTAGGATAGCTTTAGACACTACCAACACATTAGTGACTGGCTTTTGCCTTGTAAGGAGATTTAATGGTAATTTATAAGCACTGTGTTGCCATTGATGCAGCCATATTGCTTCTGATTTATACATGACTTCATCCTGTCTGGTCAGCTGCAAACTGATCACATTCCTAATGTAAAATGTTTGCTTCTAGGCCCACAATATCTGGACCATCCTGACATGTTTGTTCATACAGGAGTTCATAGTGTCGTGATTGTTACTTCATGACAGCTGTTGCTCGCCGTCACTGGAGAGCAACGTCACTTTGAGGCTCAGAAGAGGAGTGTTAAACTCGATCATTTTTGGATTAGAGCAGCGCAATGCAAAGTCAAATACTGTGTGTAAACCAACATGTTGCTATGGCTTTGAAAGATGTAATATGAGTCTTATGGCTCTCCCTCACCCAACTTGACACATTTATCTCTTAAGATGGTTTCAGCTGACTGAACAAGTCAGCTCAACAGTTGAGTCATGACTAGAATTAGGACTAACTTGAGTTTGACTACCTAGATTTTGTATAAGCACTGGCTCTCAATGTAAGGTTGGTTCCACTTATTGATGAGTCTGGAGCATTAATTTTTTTATACAAATACAAGTTTATTGATTCCATTTAAAATACATTAAATCACAATCCAAAATATGGTGTCACTTTCACTTGTGATGATCCTCGGCCTCCTGTGAACAAAATTCAAGATTAATAAAAACTTACGATTCACATTTAACCAAGTTTCAAATAAGTCGCTCACCTCTCTTTGAGAGATTCTTCAGATAGCTGGATACTTTGATATGCTGAGCAGGAGGGTGGTAACCAGGTCTCGTGCCACGTCTGGTAGCAGGTACTGGAGTTTGAAGCACTGTAGTGGGCTCGATGGTGGGACTCTGTAGATCTAGAGTATGACCAAACAAATTGTCAGCAAGCAAGATGCTGAGTGATGCCATTGATCCAGTCTGACCAGTGGGTCGCCTACCTTCAGTCGAGTTTGCAGAATGTAGGATGCGGCCGAAGCCAACTGTGTCGGACTCAAACCTGTACACCGAGAAGAGACGATGGAGGCCAGCCAGAGGATACGTACACTGCATTATAACCCTGTAAGACAGGACAGTTTAGCCATGATGATAGTTGAGTGATGGCAAATGACATGAAGATTTTTTAGATGCTGAAGAGTTGCACCTTTCAGTCACACTGCTGAAGTCTGGATTTTTCTGAGCTCGAAACTTCTTGCTGAAGAAAATCTCATTTTCATACGTCACACTCCCCTTGTTGAGCTGCAACAAAAAGCATTTACATTTGGGTGCAGGCAGTTATGTCAGCACATGTAAATGTAATTGAGGATTAAGTGTGTAACAGTAATGAGTACATGAAGCAGCACTACCTTGACGATGGAGCCACAGCTGTTGAGTGGGAAAGAGAAGAGAGCCCTGCTGTCGTCTGCTTCCTTGGGTCCACAGTATTTGTCTACGAGGTTGGTTCTAGCAGGGATCCCTCCACTTGTGACGGCCCGAGACAAGTCAGCCACCACAGTCATCCTCCCATCAGTCGAACACACTGCAGAGAGGCGATTACAACTTGTCAACGACATGTAAAGTCCACAAAACCATCCACACAGTAAAGAACAGGATGATCTTACTGATCAGCTCAGTAGTGCTGAACGGACACGTCTTGACAGTTGAACTCTGGACCTCTGATGTTTCATGATCCCTCACAAGGATCTCAAAAGTGCCAAGGAATCCCTTCAGAGTAATGTCCTGCAAAACGCACAGCTTGGTTACTGCTTTCCATGTTCAAACATGAGTTTGCTTAATGTGATTTTCCTCATCCTACCTTGTATTCATATCCGTGGGTGTAGAGCGGCACGTTGAGCAGCAGACTCTGGCTGTCGTTGCTCATGATGTAGCTGTGCTGCGCTGCCAGCTCTGACGTCAGCAGCTCGGTGTCGATACTGATGTACCACAGGTAGTCAAAAGGCCGGTGGTCCAGTTTGAAGCTGATGCCAGACTCAGAACAGACGGCATCAAAGACTGGAGGAGCTGTTAAATACAGTATGATGGATGAGTAGCTGCTCCATGCAGGAGTTGGCTTGAGCCTGTCTAAATACAAGGTTAGCGACTTACAGACATCTGTTAGTGCCATGACTGATGCCAGGTGGTAAAAAGGCTCGTTTTCAGGCAGAACTGTCAGGGTGTAGTTGATGTCGAGCCTCTGCTGCATAGCTGCATCTTTTATGGAGAACTAGGACAGAAAACATTAACTCTGACTGATCAAGCTGGAGGAATAAACCAGCCTGACACTTAAAGATGCCAAAAGACCATTACCTGCTGTATGACAACAGGGTCACCAAAAGGCACCCTCAGAGTGTAGCCATGGGTGTTGTTGGGATGAGCAACTTTTGTGATGGTGTGGCTGCTTGTGTTTGTAAACGGTATTGTGCATTTGTGTCCATTCAAATTAACAGCAGCTAGCTCAACATCGTCAGGGACATCTCCCAGGTAGATGGTGAACACATGTTCCTCATGGATTGTTCCTGAAATGAAAAACAGACAGTCAGTTGATGCAACACAGGCAAAGAGGGTCGATGGGAAACTTACTGTTTTCAGTGAAAACAGGGCGTGGCAGCAGAGGAGTGTAAAGTGTCCTGTGGAAGCGAAGCCTGGTGTCAACATGATCCTCATCCACCGAGATTTGCTCCAGGTAGAGGTGAAAGACGTAGTACTCGTACAGGTCATCATCCACAAAGCTCTGAAAAGTACAAAATGCTGTCATGTCTAAAGAAAATACTGTAAACTTCATAACTGTTCATGCATCTCTTCAGACCTTCCTGTATCCTCCTTCAGCATTATAGGGGATGCTGATCTGGACTGTGGCGTTGTGCTGCACAGTGTAGCCTCTCTCCTCTGCAACCGGCTGCTCCACAAGTTCACCATCCACACCAACGTGGACCTGCGTATCGTGCAGACCAGACACCTGCGGGTGCAGCACCTCAGGGGTCTCCCACATCATGTATCCGTCGTCATCATATGAGCCGTCATCTGTGGATTTTACACCAGTTAAATCTATATTGTTTGTCAAGGGGAAAAGCAGCCACAGTATAAAAAACAAATACTGACACAGGGAGCAGGCAGCCACCAGGTCGACCATGAGGACAACCCAGCTTTGTCTGGAGAACAGTGTTGCATGGACCACCTCTACTGGAACACCATTCACCTGGAGAGAGACTCAAAAATCAAAACCTGCTTTGGACTAAATTTTCTTCCTCAGGACAGACATTGTGCAGCAGCTCTTTACTTCCGTGCTGAATGAGTCAGGTTGTCCATACGGCGTACGAAATACAAGCCTCCCATCCGTCAGGTCAAACTCGTAGCCCTGCTTTTGAGCTTCAGAAAGGTTCATTGGCGTCAACTCCTGCTCCACCCTCTGGAACATCACCTGCCAGTCTGTGGTGGCTGAAGTATACGACTGGGGAGAGAAATGAAAGCACAGCATTTAAACAGGTAAATCGTTTCCTAAAAAAAAAGAAAATTTCCCATAGAAGGCAAGGTCAACATACAGTTTGGACAGCAGCATCCCAGTCATCCTTCTTCGTCCCAGTTGGACAGGCCACGTCACTCCTCACCGACACCTACAGAGAAGTCAAGGTTAGCGAGCAGCTCCATCAGTTCTCAGTTATAAATATCAGATGTAACCGTGCTTACTTCCATGTAGTTCTCCTCACAGGTAACCTCTCTGGGAGACCAGGGGAGAGAGGGAGAACAGGTCTTGTTCATGGCGNAGAAATGAAAGCACAGCATTTAAACAGGTAAATCGTTTCCTAAAAAAAGAAAATTTCCCACAGAAGGCAAGGTCAACATACAGTTTGGACAGCAGCGTCCCAGTCATCCTTCTTCGTCCCAGTTGGACAGGCCACGTCACTCCTCACCGACACCTACAGAGAAGTCAAGGTTAGCGAGCAGCTCCATCAGTTCTCAGTTATAAATATCAGATGTAACCGTGCTTACTTCCATGTAGTTCTCCTCACAGGTAACCTCTCTGGGAGACCAGGGGAGAGAGGGAGAACAGGTCTTGTTCATGGCGTAGGTGACCTCCTTTCCTTCATGGTTTACAATCAGGTTGAACTTGAATGTGAACACTTCATCATCCTGACAGACCCAGAAGGAGACGTATGGTGTTGTACAAAAGAAACCAGGTTGGCAGAATTAGAACTCCAGATAGATGGAGAGTAGGTCACACCTTTTCCTGTGTGTACAGTAATTTAGTGTGTGTAGATAAACGTGTACAAACACAATGCTATTTGTACACACCATGTTGTCAGTGTGACAGCTGAAGTAAGAGGCTCGGAGCGCCACTTGGTCTTGCAGAGGGAGAACACCGACAGTGTAACCACACTGGGCCGCATACTGCTCAGTGATGGGGTACACACCTGTTGCATCTGGAAGACAGTCACATCAGTTTGATTAAGAGTTGGAGCAAAGTTTGAGCCTCATTTATTCCATGAGATATTTGTGCACTGAGAAACTTTGGTTGGAATTTAAAATTACAATACTCCTACTCCAACACGGTTGTTGCCCCATGCTGCAGGTGGTAATGAAGCTGTGCAGGACTCACCAACAGCCTCAAAGCGAGGTTCCTCTCCGGTGAAGGAGAGATCAACAGCCATCATGAAGTACCGATCACGACACTCCATATGAAGAACTCCTGTATGAACAGACAAGGTGTCAGGATGGTCCAATTATTATTGTGGGCCTAGAAACAAATAATTTTAAGTCTTACCATTGGGAATGTGATCACACTTTGCAGTTGACCACACAGACAGGAGCAAGGTCACGCTGGAAGGCAAAGGCATGTATAAATCTCAAGCAATACGACTGCATCAATGGCAACACAGTGCTTATAAATAACCAATATATCTCCTTACCCAAGGCAAAATCCAAAAGCCATAGTCACTAATGTGTTGGCAGTGTCTAAAGCTAGCCTAGCAGCTAGCAAACTACACCTGCTAACCAACACAAGCTAACTTGAACCACTTGCTTGATCTATCCCGGTCACACTGGCACCGTGTGGTGGGGGTCTCCTCCACCAGCTTTTATACGCCAGTTTATTCACTGATTAACTGGAGGCTTCCGACGAGCTACAGCCGCACGTGTCGCTCATTAGCAATCAAAGCTTCCGATCATCTGCACCTGCTGAGGTTGGAGCTCACCTCCCTGCCAACCTCACGGGCGAAGAAATGAACTGATAAAAGCTGGTGTAGGAGATGGCAGCACATGATGCCAGTGTGGCCAGGATGCATCAAGCAAGTGGTTCACTTTAGCTTGTGTTGGTTAGCAGGTGTAGTTTGCTAGCAGCTGGGCTAGCTTTAGACACTGCCAACACATCAGTGGCTATGGCTTTTGGGTTTTGCTTTGGGTAAGTTGTGTTTGTGGCAATATAATGCATTATTTCTGGTGGCATTTCTGCATGTAGGTGATATGCTTTTCTCTTGCAGTGTGGCCTTACTCCTGTCTGTGTGCTTGCCTGCAAAGTCTGACCACATCCTTGATGGTAAATAAATGTTTTGCTTAATGGGCTCACAGTGATTGGTAGGCGATCAATACTGAGATCTCACCTTGTCTGTTCATACAGGAGTTCTTCATATGGAGTGTCATGATCGTTACTTCATGATAGCTGTTGATCTCTCCTTCACTGGAGAGGAACCTCGCTTTGAGGCTGTTGGTGAGTCCTGCACAGCTTCATTACATCTACAGCTCAGGCAACGGGGAACTAAATTATGAGAGGATTTGTCATCAAACACTATTTTAAATGAGAACCCTCACTAGCACCCATTAGATAGTGTGAAGTGAGAATCTATACTCTTAAATAAAGGAGTAAATACTGGGCAAAATTAATGGTGTAGTATTTGTCTTCCAGATGCAACAGGTGTTTACCCCATCACTGAGCAGTATGCAGCGAAGTGTGGCTACAGTGTCGGTGTTCTCCCTCTGCGGGGCCACGTGGAGCTCCGAGCCTCTGTCTTCAGCTGTCACACTGACAACAAGGTATACACACACACACACACACACACACACACACACACACACACACACACACACACACACACAGGCCTGCTGTGGCCCAAAGGAAATAAAATCTTCTGGGTCTCTCAGGATGACGAAGTGTTCACATTCAACTTCAACCTGATTGCAAACCATGAAGGAAAGGAGGTCGCCTATGCCTTGAACAAGACCTGTTCTCCCTCTCTCCCCTGGTCTCCCAGAGAGGTTACCTGTGAGGAGAACTACATGGAAGTAAGCACGGTTACAAATCGGATTATTTTACATATGGAGTACATTCGGATGTGAGCTAGTTGTGACTTCTCTGCAGGTGTCTGTGAGGAGTGAAGTCCCATGTGCATCTGCGGCTAAGAAGGAGGACTGGAATGCCGTTAAATCTGTAAGTTCAGTCACAGTTGAATTTCGATGATGATGATGATGATGATGATGAATTCGTCGGTCTTGAAGCCACTTTGTGTTCTGGTTCCAGGCGCATAGTTCCAACACTTCAGACTGGCAGGTGACGTTTCAGAGAGCAGAGGAGCAGTCGATGCCTATGACCCTCTCCGACGCTCGTAAGCAGGGCTACGTGTTTGACCTTACAGCTGGAAGGCTTGTGTTTCGTACGCCGTATGGACAACCTGACTCATTCAGCACAGAGGTAAAGAGCTGCTGCGCAATGTCTGTGTGTTGTGAAGCATTCGGTCCAAAGCAGGTTTTGGATTTTTTTTGAGTCTCTCTCCAGGTGAATGGTGTTCCAGTAGAGGTGGTCCATGCATCCATGTTCTCCAGACAAAGCTGGTTTGTTCTCATGGTCGACCTGGTGGCTGCCTGCTCCATGCGTCAGTATTACAGTCTTTATTTTCCTATTACTTATCTTTTTATTTATGACCATGCAGACTTGTAATACTGGCCCTTGTCTAAACAGATAAAGGATCATATGATGACGATGGATACATGATGTGGGAGACCCCTGAGGTGCTGCACCCGCTGGTGTCTGGTCAGCACGATACGCAGGTCCACATCGGTGTGGATGGTGAACTTGTGGAGCAGCCGGTTGCAGAGGAGAGAGGCTACACTGTGAGGAAGCACAACGCCACAGTCCAGATCAGCATCCCCTATAATGCTGAAGGAGGATACAGGAAGGTCTGAACACACTGACGTTAAGTTGATGTATTTGAGGATAAATTCTCACCGGCCTCGGTCTAAATTAAACTGAACCATCGGATACATTCAAGGATCCACAAATTGGAACAATAAAACATTCTCACTCACTCCTGCTCTCTGGAAAATCATATGGCAATAAACTATAAAATGAAAATAAGTCGTCAGTAAAGTCGTAAAGGAAAAAACAAATAAATTTAGAGTTTTGACAGCTCTGCTGATGCATTAAACATCTTTACAGAAGATGAGATGCGGTTCTCCAACATGTATAATTTGGGGTCAACTATGTGCAGAGAGCATTACCTGAAAGCAACACAACAGTAAAATATAATTATATTTATCTGTGAAGTGACATATTTAATGTCTCCTACACAGAGCTCTGTGATTGGCGACCTCTACGAGTTTTACGTCTTTCATCTGTACTTGGAGCAAATCTTGGTGGATGAGGATCGGGTAGAGACGAGGCTCCGGTTTCACAGAACGCTGGCCACTCCGATGCTGCCCCGCCGTGTTTTCACTGCCAACCGAACTGTTGTTGAAGAACGACTGTTCACCGTCTACCTCGGAGATGTCCCTGAAGACGCCGAGCTGGCAGCTGTTCAGCTGAACGGACAAGAATTGACGGTTCCATTTACAAACACAAGCATCCACTCAATCACAAAAGTTATTCAGCCCAACAGCACCCGTGGTTACACTCTGAAGGTGCCGTTTGATGACCCTGTTGTCATACAGCAGGTAAAGGCCTTTTTGATATTGACTGGGTTTATACATGCTTTTATATTATACTGTCTACCAGATGAGGTTTGTAATTATGTATGTTCTTTGTGCTAGTTCTCTAAAGCAGATGCAGTTCTTCAATACAGGCTGGACATCAATTACACACTGATTGTTCTGCCTGAAAATGAGTCTTTTTACCACCCAACAACCGTCATTGTGTTGTTCACAGATGTCTGTAAGTCAATAATTTTAAAGCTTGTTTCATCCTATTTGAGCATGGAGCAGCTACTCATCCATCATACTGTATTTAACAGCTCCTCCAGTCTTTGATGCCGTCTGTTCTGAGTCTGGCATCAGCTTCAAACTGGACCACCGGCCTTTTGACTACCTGTGGTACATCAGTATCGACACCGAGCTGCTGACGTCAGAGCTGGCAGCGCAGCACAGCTACATCATGAGCAACGACAGCCAGAGTCTGCTGCTCAACGTGCCGCTCTACACCCACGGATATGAATACAAGGTAGGATGAGGAAAATTAATTCTGATTTTTAGATCTAGAAGATGTTAATGGAGCTGATCTTGATATGGAGAGTTATAACTAAATTGTATGTATTTGTAGAACTTTACTCTGAAGGGATTCCTTGGCACTTTTGAGATCCTTGTGAGGGATCATGAAACATCAGAGGTCCAGAGTTCAACTGTCAAGACGTGTCCGTTCAGCACTACTGAGCTGATCAGTAAGATCATCCTGTTCTTTACTGTGTGGATGGTTTTGTGGACTTTACATGTCGTTGACAAGTTGTAATCGCCTCTCTGCAGTGTGTTCGACTGATGGGAGGATGACTGTGGTGGCTGACTTGTCTCGGGCCGTCACAAGTGGAGGGATCCCTGCTAGAACCAACCTCGTAGACAAATACTGTGGACCCAAGGAAGCAGACGACAGCAGGGCTCTCTTCTCTTTCCCACTCAACAGCTGCGGATCAATAGTCAAGGTAGTGCTGATGCCCGTTTAACCAACTAATGCTCGTCTCTGGCAACATGATGAATCCTGCCTGTAAAGTTAAATGTTTGAAAAGACAGTAATTATTTGCACCTTTTTTTTTTAGCTTGGCCAGGAAAATGTGACGTATCAAAATGAGATTTCCTACAACAAGGAGTACGTCGGTGTGAGCAAGGCAGCCTCTGAAGATGCTACTGAGCGGTGAGTAACACCGCCCCTTCCTTTTTTTTTTCTTTTTTTTTTTTTTTTTTAAAAAGCCAACAATGTTCTAGTACTATAAAGTATTTTCCCACCAGATCCATGGCAGTAAATCAGTCCCTGTCTTACAGGATAACAGTGCAGTGTACGTATCCTCTGGCTGGTCTCCATCGCCTCTTCTCGACATACAGGTTTGAGTCTGATACAGTCGGTATCGGCAGCATCATCCATCATGCGCAGGCCACACCAGGTACAGTGGGCGGCTCACCTGCTGGACATGACCAGTTATCACCCCTCCATATTAGATGTTTGAGTATTCACTCCTTTTTTTTGCACTGTAGCTCCACAGATCCCCACCATCAAACCTATTACAGCACTTCAAACCACACCTGCTTCCAAAAGACCAACCAGAGAACCTCTAGCTTTCCTGCCTGCTCATTACCCCCCTGTCCGCTACATCAGAGTTACGAAGGTTCACAATCTTATAGGCATGAAAAGAGGTGAGGACTTAAAAAAAAAAAAAAAAAAAATTCATTTAGGAGGTCAGGCCTCACTTTTGTTAAATTTTGGCATTTCTCCACAGGAGCTGAGGGAACCTCGCAAACCAAAGTAAACGCTGCACAAATTTGAAGGATGTCTAATTTTTATAGAAAAACTGGAAATTTAATAAAACTGTTTTCTTAATTGTTTCTTTGTCTTTTTTTGTTGATTCATCAACACTTACTACATAGACAAATGGGAATATGGAGGAGTGGCAGAAACTACTTGAGACAGGTACAGGAAGTTTCTAGATGCTATAAGACACATGTAGAGGCTGTGTTTTTTTTTTTTTTTTAACTGAACCCTGGTTTAAGAGTTTTTGTTTAAGGGCTTGATCATTTATCCTTAACTAGATTTAAATCTTTAGTTTCCCTCCACTCATCGTTACCTCTTGGATTGGTTTGAAATTCACATTTTTAAATTCATCTGCTGACGGTGAAAAGTTTCTCTTCTCAACTTGAGATTACAGCTTGTACCAGTGAACATGCTTCGTGCCATCACAACTAGTTTCCAAGCCAAATCCCAGTCTGGTAACAGGCCCCTTACACAAGTGCCTCTGGAAACTTGATGCCTGCATTGCACATACACAGAGGATAGACTTTAAGCGGTGTAAGAGACATCTTGTGTCCAGTATTTAACTTTTAAAATGAAAAGTAATTACATATTCATAGATTCCTTTTGCGGGAGGAGTAGATTTAATTTTAATAAAGTTAAATGTCTGACCATAAACTATATGATTTCGCATTTCCAATTGCAATGGTGTGTAGAAACAGCATGTAGCCAAATGTCTTAATTGGCATTAATTGATGACACCTGGTGCAGTTTGCTCCAATATGGGTGGATGCAGGATTATGAGGAAAACCATTTTCGCTGAGTTGAAAATTACATTAGCTTCATAAAAACATGACTGACAGTATGTTGCATAAAGCTGACTTAATATTTGGCATGTTTTTTTTTTTGTTTTTTTTTTTTCATTAGAGCGGGTCAGTGAAATGAACGGGATCTCGAGTCAACCAGCAGGGGGCGCTTGTCGTCACGCTCTTCCACCAGGTAGCGGCTACAACTTTAGTGTTTATTTTTGACTTCATTTCTTTCCCTCATTTTGACACCAGCGTGAGGCAGACGCCGCTTTTGACTCTCTTCGATTTACAAACCCTGGACAGGAAAGTCAACCATGAACTGCAGTGGAGGACATGCCGTGAGTTTTCTATCACTTTCGTTTCTTGGCCTAAAATTGACTTTACCACTAGCAGTCAGCAAAGCAGACTGTAAGTGGTGGTGGTGGTGAGTTTATCAGCTGACAAACGTCCATGTTTCTCGTCTAACAGAGACCCAGGCAGCAAGTTCTGCCCTCTTTCTCCACCAGGACCCTGCAGCACCCCTCCTTCCTGCCCCTCTACATGGCTGCAGGCTTTGCGCACCATCACATAGGCTGTAACGACCAAGCAGGTGAGTCGGTTTCAACCACATCTGGGTCAAAGCTTCATCCAGCTGTGCAGCCTCAGTGACTGTTTAATGGCTTCTTCTCTTCAGTCCATCCCATCATCCCAGTCGAGGTCTTCTACACTGACCCCGCCATGAGCTGTGGCAGGAGGATCCCCAACATAGTGACTGATTTGGGGGTAAGTAAGTGTGCTCAGTGCTGGGACCTCATGAACCAACATCTGAAAACTGGTTGCCAGGGCTACCCATAGACATTGTCATTCATACACCAACAATTATGGGATTTAATCCCTGGACACATTTTCATAAATCACAATATAATAGAGATAATACATGATGTTCAGAAAACACTTGTTTTTGTGGTACTGTTATATCTAGTAAATGTGTTTGTGAAGTCAGTCCTTTACCCTTCGATCTCAAATGAATGACCTTAAACCATCATTCCTGATCCCCGTGTGTTTGATACATTCATTTTCTCCAATCATGTAATGTAATTAATACAGATAGAGGTGATGAGGAGGGTTCCCACACAGTTCCCTGCTGGCAGCCTGGCCTCTGCTCTGTGGGTGGAGGTGGAGGTGGTGGGGGGGGGTTAGAGCTTCTGGAGAGGATCAGACAGACGAGGACGTTTAATAAGATTGGCTCAGTCCTGTCAGACAGAGCTAAGACCCTAAACTGAGGGGGGGGGGCTGAAGGGAAATGGAGACCAAGCGAAAGAAGGAGGGGGCAGTGAAGACATCGCATCAGCCATACATCTGTTTCAGTTTAGAAAAACAAAATGAGCGAGAGCTGAGAATAAACATCATGAGAAGAAAAACAGGCAGAGCGCTGCACGGGGTCAAAAAGGTATTGTGGAGAACGTAAAAAAGAAAAACTGTGAAACCAGGTGCTGTCCCAGGATGAGGCCGGTGGTCAGATAAACTGGAAAAAAACAACTGTCCAGTGTAAGAAGACGGATGAAGACTCTAAGTGCATGTGGCCTATCCATATATTAATAAAGTATTTTTAGTTTCACATCTACAATCAGAGTGCCACGGATATTTTCTTCTGACTGCCATTGTACAGTTTCATCTCTTATAAGACTTATTACACTGGACAGTTGTTGTTTTTCTCAGTTCAAGAAATTAAATTTGTGTTCATGAAGATATCGTAACAGTAAACACAGTAGTTTGACCTTGTTATGTCCTATTAGCATCAATCACTTCTGAGCTCATCCACACGTATTGAGATCCGATATTTACTCTTTACCCTCAACAATCTCACCAGCCTCATCTCTCCTCATCAGGTTCTCGATTGCTTTCAGCTCAACACTCCACCACCGGTAATGTCCGCCTGTCTGGCTCCACCAAACCGTCCAGACCCATTCAGATCTGGGCCACACCCCACTAGAGACCTGGGCTGCCCCAGGTGGAGAACGAACCCCATCCACTCACCAGCGCAGCCAAACCGGGCCGTTCTCCAGCTTACCCAGGAGGAGGACCAGGCCATCACTAACCTCCTGAAACTGCACCGCCACGAGCCTAGACAAAGCCACGAGACCCTTACTGCTACACAAATGGACTTTTTCAGTGTTGCGGGGCCACCAGTAAACCTGAACCCCTGCCTGTTCCCTAGACGAGGTTGGTCGGATACGGAGCTTGAAGCAGCTGACACCCTCTTGAGTCGCTTCAGTCTCATGGAAGAGGACAGGATCTGGGAGCGGTGCCACCAGAAATCAGCAGTAACACGTCCCGATCCTCCAACATACCAGCATAACATGGATTTACCAATAAACACTGAAACCCGGCAAGAGTCTGAGGCTTTACCCACATTAAAAGCTCCTCTCTCTCAGAGTGATGTCAGCTACATCGGGTTTACTGGTGCCGGTGAGAACACAGATCCAGTCTGGGGGGATTCTAGGTCTGTTGAGGACAGAGGTGCCTCTGGATATTTGTCAGAGGCGAGGGAACGGATGCTCTCAGATTTGGAGGGGGACGCTGTGCATGTGCTCCTCAGCCTTGGAGAGATGGGAACTCCTGATATCTTGCAGTGACGGCCTTAAACCTGAGCGGGTCTCCTTGCCCCTGGGTGTTTTCTTTTTTTTTTTGTTTTTTGAAAGGGCTTTACTACATCTTCCTCATTATGGAAACTACTAGTTGAGCGTTTTTTGCTCTTTGTTTTTTCCAGTTGTTGCTCAGAAAAAAAGGAAATTTACCTCAAAAGCCTTTGTTTTTCCAGGGTGTGAATTTATTTCCCCACTTGAACAAAAACGAAAACCGTATTTTCATGTTTACCTTTGAGTATTGCACATGCGCCTTGTTACTTTCCTTTCCATCAGTGTTCAATAAAAACGATCCACAGTTGAGCCTGTTACCTAGAAACAAACACCTACAGTGGCTAAAAAGACACAAAGTTTTTTATTAAAAGCACTACTAGTGTTTTGAAGGAGGGAATCCCCCCGCTCATTATTTACAACATATTGTACATTTACACTTTATGCACAAATAATACAAACTCTTCACTGACAACAAGCTGCAGGGGGAGCTACAGTGTTATTCCGCAATGGCTAGTGACACAAGCTAACAAGCTAGCCAACAGCACAGCTACTGAAACGTCATAAACAGCTACAGCTCAGCCACCGTTTACATGCATTTTCAAAGCTCTTGTGCTTGACATGGTCACGAGAGAAGTCTTGATGTGTAGTTCTGTGTTTTGAGTTTATTCAAATGTTTGTTTTCTGGTGAGATAAGATTCCTTTTTAAATGTTCTTCATTCTTTCATTTCATATCATAGGGTGACACTAGTCAGGTTGTTGTGTGTGGCAGGAATGAGACTTGTGTATGCAGGACTCGAGGCATTTACTGGGAGGAACACCTGTCTCTTTTCTTTGCAGCAAGTTTGACATTTGTGCAATCTGGTGGAGCTATGGCTAGAATGATTAGCATGTCACTTTGGCAGTTTCCCAGCAGCGCATGAAGAGAAGTTAATGCAGGGCTACATGCTCACAAGAAGAGGTGAACTCTACAGCTGAAATGCTGGAATATGCTGGTCTCTGTTATTGAACGTAAACATGCACATACCACATAGTTTCTTTGAGCATCAGTAATAAATGATTCACTTGAAGTTTCCAGCTGCTTTAGTGCACACACGTACTCCAGTGGTATAAATAATGATTTATCACGCTTCTGCTTTTGTCTTTCATTTCCTGGTTGCTTGAAAGTGACACGACTCATAAAGTCCCTGAATAATCTTTGTACAGAGTTTCCGTTTGTCGTCCTTTAAAAAATGATTAAATGTAAACATCCTTTGTCCCTAATGAGCGCCGCGGCCACTGATGTTGCAAACCATGCTCGCAGCCTGGATGACCCTGTAGCGCTCTCGCAGGTTTCGCCTCCTCACGTGCTCGTTGGTGATCTCAATGACGTTTACTACGGGGAACCAGCCCTTCTGACCGTCCGACAGGCGGCTCCCCTCATACCAGCCTGAGAACGAGAGGAGAAGTAGGCGAGTGGAGGGGAGGGGAAGGGAGGGAGGAGAACAAATAGGGGAAGATTGGAGGTTTCTGTGTTGTTCATGCAAGAAAGTCAAAACGAATCAATAAACTGCTACGGAGGAGGGATGAGGATCGACACAGTTATGAGGATCAGGGTGTATGAACAAGCAAGAGTCAAGGGAGGGGGGGGGACGTGTTAATGATGCAAAGTTAAGAGCCCTGTCTGTACTGCATTTTGAACCGTCTCAGTCTGTCTAGAGCCACAGACACTGATAATGGCAAATATAGGCAAATGGAAAAATGGTAATCTGACACAAGCAGAGATTGATATCGCTTTTGTGCAGTTTGAGCTGCAGATGTGTGCTCTGTAAAAGACGAAATATTTACAATCGTAAATGTGATGTCTTTAGATTTAAGGGGCCAGTTTGTCTCTGTGACAGTCTGATAAATAAACAACTGTGTCTCTGTCCCAGGATTCCCTGCACGTTCTTACCCTCGTTGGTTTTGCGGATGACGTTGACGATCTCAGTGGGCTCCAGGGTGAGCTCGTCTGCCTGCTGGGCAATGTACTGCTCAACACAATGCACCTGAGGACAGTCTGTCACACACACACACACACACACGTGACCGTAAAAACTCTGGCTATAAAATCACTATAAAAATAGATGCATCACACATTTCTGTGTGCATGTTTGTGCGTCCTCACCCCAGTCTTCATAAATGACTTCGTCTTCCTCTCTGTCTGGGTTGGTGGGGTTGGGGAAAGCTGCAGTCCACCTGTGCATGTCTGACCTGTTGACAAAAACAGTTAGCTTGAAAAAAAAAGAAAAAGAAAACAATGAATCTGGGCCTCATATTTGTGACATGTCTAAAAATGGCCTGTGAAGCCTTGCTGCGTCTCGTTTTGCTACTCACTGGGAGGGAGCTTTGAAGAGCCGCTCCATTATGCGACCCTGGTGGTTTTCCAGCAGGGTGAGGTTGAAGCAGTGCTCGTAGGGGCCGCCGCTGCTCCCACTTTCATCCACTGGCTGCACCTGCACCAGAGAGCGATGGGCGTGGTCGAGAACCACAAAACGCTCCGCACTGTTCAGGAAACAGAGAGCTAAGTTTGACTTGGTGTCATCAGGCTTTTATGGGAGCCTGTAAATGCAAATCATCTGCATAGCCGCTATAGGAAATACCGCTATACCAACTGAGGTACATCAAGTTGCCTATAATATGCATGTAATATGCATTCATCATCGTGAAAGTGGCATCATGACAGCTTGTCAGAAGACACAGCTGGAGCGCTTCCAAGGAGCCTGGTTGCGATGTCTGTTCTACAGCTTCAAAATAAAACATGAGGTGAGTCTACAGGCCACTCCCCCCTCCACATCACTTGTTAATGCCATTATTGTTGACAGGGTTAATGATTAATTATGATTTATGATCTTCTATGTAAAGTGCGTTGCTCTGAAATAGCACCGGTGCGGACACTTGTAAATAACCTCAGGGGAAGGTGACATCATGTCTGTTGTTTTCCAGCAGCTGCTTGAACAAGGTTTACTGTCACTTTGATAGTCAACTCTGCCTCAGTGATTTCAAGCAAAGATAACTGTGTGGCACATAGCACACTGCAGCGGAGTGATATCTCAATTCAATTATTAACCGACATTAATGTGTGCAACGTGATTAAGACGGTGTTTGT